AAAAAAAAAAAAAAAAAAAAAAAAAAAAAAAAAAACACCAGACGATGGGCTCACGCAAACCTATGGAAATCAAAAACAAAAACAAAAAAAGCACAAAAAAAAAAGCACACAAAAAAAGCAATGGGAAGTCCTGGTAACGAACTTTACAAAACCAGCATGAGGGCATACTCGCACTAGGACTTTTCCTAGAACACTCTGGACGTAATTGCAGTCAGATTCATCCACGTCAGGCTGTAATTGCAGTCAGATGCATTTCCTAGTGAGTATGTCCTGAGTCTGGCAAACAAATCGTTATCCCCAAACGCTAACCCCCGACCTTTTATATACCCTTACATTTTGTACGCAAAGACACTGAAGGTCCTAAAAATCCTATGAGCATGTGAATCATGAACAACATAACAGGCTGCGAAAATTAAACCACCCCCAATGACCACAACTTGCCCTCTTGCCCTCCCCCATTGGAGCTTAACAGGCTAGCTGGAACACATATAGCCATGCGGCCCATGCGCTGACTATAACACAACTGCCTGTACCGGAAGACCAGAACAGCGTCTTGCGCTGCAGCATAAACTATACCAGAAAGCGCCATTACCGGGTCTTTGAAGGCTCCGCTCCGCTTCTCGTCTCCTTTTCTTTGCGGATGGAAACAACTGCAACTGGAAGGAGGAATATCTTCATTGAAAGAAAACAGTCCTTTCTCGATCCAAGGACGCTCCCACCAGCCTGACCCTAAAGCATCACAATTGGGTTTGGAGCCGTAACTCCATGCACCATAATTGGGTGGGCTTTAACCCCAAGCATCATAACTGGGTGGGCCTTCACAGGGTCTTAGCAGCCCCTAGATTGTTGTCAGTACGTACCCTCCATAACTGGGTGACGCATAATGTTGTCAGTTCGAACCAAGCACCATGATTTGGTCTTCACTTTTCCACTTTCTTTGTTCTGTATCCGATCTGATGATTCCGATCCTCATACAAGCCAGCAACAAAGGTTGAAGAACACATGCGAAAGAATGATCGACGGACCTCTTCATCGTACATGGATGCAGTGTAGAAGGATTTCGTCGCGATCGCGCTGGTTGGTCGTAACCAGTCGGCGGATGAGCATGCTGAAAGTAGAATCCAGATCGCACAGGATCTGAGCAGCAATGTACTTGACGCAGGTGATTCCGATCCTTGGAATGTGAAAACGCAAGCCAGCAACAAAGGTTGAAGAACACATGCAAAAAAGAATGATCGGCGAACCTCTTCACCGTACATGGACGCAGTGTAGAAGGATTTCAATGCGATCGTGCTGGTTGGCCGTAAACCAGTCGGCGGACGAGCACGCTGCAAGTAGAAACCGCACATCATTTTTGTTGGCCATGTCCGGATCGCGCAGGAACTGGTCGGCAATGTACTTGACACAAGTGAAGAGCCGCTCACGACTTATGTGAGCAGGGAGTGAGTGCGAGTGATAAGCTATAAATCTGCCGACTAGTGCGGCGTGCACTTGGGTGTATCGATAGTCCAGACTGATAAACGGAGCAGACGAAGAGCCTGAACCGGAGCTGGCAGATTTGCTTTGGCAGGCCTTTTCCGCTTTATCCGCCCGTGTTATGGCCAGGGAAAGCTGGGCAGTCTTCGCTTCCAGATCTGCTCGGAGCTTTGCGTTCTCTTTGCTTAACACACCACAGTTCGAACAAGGTGCCCCGCACCGGCCACGGTGGTGGTCATAATCTCTGCGAAAAATGCTCTCGTCGCCACATCGGCTGCACTTGACCTTCACTGCCCCACACGTCTTCAAGTGCGCTGCGGAATCCGAATGCTCGCCCTGCCAGGTGCACCCCTGCACATGGTTTACGCATTTCACCAGAGAGCGACCCAACAGACGGTACAGAAAGACGCTATGGGTTTTGATATGCAGCAGCTGCGATGTTGTGACCCTGGAACGGTCTTGTGGACATTGCTGGCGAGATGCTACATAAGTAGAAATGCAGCTCCCGCAGAACAAGTGGCCGCACGGTGTGACCATTGCATCATTCTGATCGATCATGTCATCACAGATAGGGCAAAATATGTCTGCTGGCAGACGGTCCCGGTTCACCACCAAGTCTGTACTCACACCCATCCTCTCTCTCTCTCTCTCTCTCTCTCTCGTGTGTGTGTGTGTGTGTGTGTGTGTGTGTGACTGTAGCTCTCTCGCCTTCAGATGAGCACGTAACCAATCTTTCAGACTAGTATATCCACAGACACATACACATGAACTCACAGATCCACCAGTCTGCCTCACAGATTCGCTGCTGCCCCTTGCACAAAAGATACACAGACTCTGTCACGTAAAATCACAATCAGCAACCGATGCACCGAAGCAAGAATACAGAACCAAGTACGCAATGCACATCCGTGAGCCCAAGTCAGTGATCAGCCCGAGAGGACAAGATGGAAATAAGCTATTCTGAAATCAGATGTGACAACACCATGACAACGGCTTGAAAGAGTACTTCCAGCATCGATTTGAAAGCCTGGGCCCGATACCAACCTCTCTCTCTCCGTCAGGTGCTCCTCTCTCTTCATAATCTGCACTGCCTAACAAGCCCAATCCCAATCTCTCTCTGTCCGCTGCTCCTGTCTCTTTCAGCTGCTCCGCTCTCTCTTGATAGACTGCCACAGCCAATTGTCGTCAAAAGCGCAACTGTGCTGTCCGATCAGATGTCTTTTATGTTGTCGTCAACAGCACATCTGCGCTGTCGGGTCAGATGTCTTTTATGTTATTTCCTGACAGATTTTTTTTTATTTTTTTTTTATGTTATCTCAAGTCCCCTCCCTGCTGCCTCTCTCACCTTCTGCGTGCAGAGTATGAGATGACTGTGCTCTGCTCCAGATCCCAATCCACTCACGAATGGAATTTCCATTTATCCCAGCGAGTTTGTTGTCTGGTACCTTTCCAGCTTGCAGTGACCCATACGCCGCATGGTACTAATATCCGGCCCAATTCAGGTCAGACCGTCAGGGGCATTATTTGTGTGAGTGTGTGTGTGCGCAGCTGATAGACAGTCTATCCAACGGTTCAGATGTACGGAGTGGCCGCGAGACTGACAAGGCAGACGAGTCTCCGCTAGGTTGACTGTCGAATCCGCATCTCCGGCGATGACTGCACATACACCATATTGTGTTAGATCCGATCTGGAACCGTCCAACGACTCGTCAACGACTTTCAATGACTTGAGGGAAGGCGAGGCCAAGAAAGAGGGCAAAGAAAATGAATAAAGCCAAGGGGCAAAATGAAAGCAAGGGGCAGCAGCACCAGGAGGTAGAGTGGCACAAACCAGTCTCTGATACAAAGGAACGCGAGAAAGCAATGTGTGTGTGTGTGTGTGTGTGTGTGTGTGAGAGAGAGAGAGAGAGAGAGAGAGAGAGAGAGAGAGAGAACACTCACGAATAGACACGGAATGGACCAGCGGGGGGTCGGGGGGAAATGAAATAGACAGACAAAGACACATCAAGATCGAGGGAAATCAGAGGGGGTGCAAAGTAAGGAGCAGACATGCACAGAGAAAGAAAAAACACAAGAAAGATTGCCAAAGACTTGTCAACACAAGGAGACAATGCCATTCCAGGAGAGAGGCGTATGCGAGGAAAAAAAAACAAAAATAGCAGTACAATCAGTATGCTCATATACCAAAAAATGTGATTCAAGGAGAGAGGACAATGTATTTCAAAGACGCATATGACAACAGGACAGTATGAACATATGGGTGCACTAGGAAAGTGAGGAAAACATGCCAACGCGAGGATCCAGGACGTCCGCTACTCCTCCGCCACACCACCACTTGGATATGGCTAGCGCAGCTTGGCTATGGGTGCCTCAACCCCTTCTTCTCTCTCGCTGCCACCACGCAGCTTCCTCCTCAGGCAAAGTGCTCAGCTGCCGCTCCAGCAGTGCTGAGCATTGGTACAATGCCCGAATGTGTTGGACGCTGCGCCCGCCAGCCTTGTGTACTGGCTGGAGACACTGAGCAGCCTCTGGCCTGGCTGCACCCAGTCCCAGTTGCCTGCCCCCTGGGCCCCTTCTGGACGCTGTGCCCAGGCCCAGCGCGAGCAGCATCTTCAACCAACTGGGACTTCAGCAGTGCCGCTGCATTAACACAATGACTGAAAAGGCTGGAGGGCGCAGCCTCCAACACATTAGGGCATGTTGTGACAATGTGGCTGTGCTGCCGCAGCGGCAGGCAGGCGCTATGCCCGAGGAGGAAGCTCCGCGGTGGCTGCGAGAGAGAAACAGAGGGTGAGGCAGCCATAGCCCAGCCGCACTCACCACAGCCGAGTGGTCGTGGAGTAGCGGAGGTCCTGGAAGGAGAAGGGAGATGAAGGCAGTTTGACGAGGAACATACCTGGTGTCAATGAAGGTAGGCTGTTCAATAAGAGTCTTGAAGCGGCATTGGGCTGATGACATGCAGAACCTGCTGTAGCATGAGCAGGTTATAGGTTGATATAAGAGCTGTCTGTCGGTAGAACAGGCGGATAGCCGCCAGTAGGATTGCTACATCATTGTTGCATCGGTGATTGGAGGCGTCGGGAGGGCTTTTCCATTATCAAGAGACTTAAACGCTGTGGTTGTTCCTATTCGGGGATCTTTTACTTTGATTTCTGCTTTTAGTTAGACTCAATGATAACTGGTCTTCTCCGAGCCGTTGCAATCTGTTGGTTAATTGCTGTTCGCATAGCTGATCTGCTTGCAATTTGGTATCAGAGAGCAGGTTCGTAGGTTCTTGCCACTTGGTTCCAGCACATTTGGTTGGTTCGGTGCATGCAGTGCATAGCAGGTGAAGATGTCATTTGTCAAAGACCTGGACGTTCCTGTACCGCCGTTGGGCTAGAGCTTGTAAAGTATTGTCCTCATATAGGCTCATAATGTTTTTTTTTTGCTCATAATGTTTTTTTTTTAAGTGGTCCGATGGACCACGGAACAGATATTAAATCATCAGAACAGAAACTACACGGTCTATTTTTAGCCAAAAGGCCGAGAAAGGCATTGGTAATGTTGTTTATTTTATTTATGTCCGGCCAGTCAATTTCTGCTTGCATACTAATGCATAGGGATTAGTTGTTTCTGTTTGCATGAGCAATGCCGTAGACAGACTATAGGCTGTTCAAGTGTAGAATTACTTGTTTCTGTTTGCATACTAATGCATAGGGATTAGTTGTTTCTGTTTGCATGAGCAATGCAGGGAGTAGTGGTGAGGAGGAGGATGACAGACGTCTGACTACCGTCTTCACCCGAATAGAACACCCAGTCATTATCGCTGTATGCAGACTGAACACCCGGTCATTATCGCTGTATGCAGACTGAAAGTTGCACCAAATACGGCTATAACGACCGGGCGTTCTATTCGGGCGAGGACAGTAGGAGTTCAGTCCAGCAGATGAGAGGAGGCTTAGGGGAGAGCCTGCCGCTAGGAGGATCGCTGCAGCTAGCATTGTGGCAGCAACGGCAGGGCGGGTCTTAGCAGCAATGGCAGCGCAGACCTCAGGAGAGAGTGCTCAGGGCTCGTTAATAGGCAGACAAGGAGGCTTTCGAGGGAACGGATGAGAGTAGTTTGCGTCCCACAGAAAAAAAGGCACTGAAACAGAAAGTGTTGGGCCTGCACGAGGCAATGCACACTGTGGAAAGCAAGAGCGACTCCATTCAGTCCACCCTGGACAGGCTAGAGGCGGGAACTCCAGCTCCCTCCAGCACAACAGTCATTACGTCCTGACCTATAGGGCCACCTAAAATGAGTCCGCCCCCCCCGTTTCCGGGATGTCTGTTCCCCAGTTCGGTATCAAACCACACAGCGGCACAGGTGTGGGTCCTTCTCAGACCCAGCTGTAGTCTATTTCATTCCCGGTGTCCGCAGCTGCAGTGTGTAGGCACAGGCATCCTCATCTACAGGCCTTGTAGGTGGGGCACAGCCCCCAGTCTTTGCGAAGACATCTACGGTACAGCCAGCAGTGTTCATGGGTGAAAAGAAAAATGAGAATCTGCGCAACCTCTAGGATCAACATCACCTCGCTTAGCAAGGTGGTAAGACACTAAGCTGAACAATGTTAGCATGCAAGGGGGACGGAAGAAGAAGCTGCCCCAGGATTAGAGGAAGAAGGAGCACCTCCTCTTTGTAGATTCAAAGGGTAGGTAATCAGGAGGAGGTTGACGATCTTTCGGTCCTGGAGGACCACGCAGAGCAGGCGGACGGCGAGGAGCCTGCTCAGGAGGGAGGAGTTGCATCCATCTCACCATCTCAAGGGCTAAGGAGGCTGACACAACGGAAGGGCCAGCCAAGGGTCAAGGTAGCGGTGAGATTGCTGAGGACCACCACCAATCAAGGAGAAGCTTGAGAGAAGAGCCGAGAGGCATTGGAGAGGAGGGGGTCCGCATGCGATGTTGCGAATTACGCCACAGACAGGCATTGGGGAGGGGTCTGCATGCGTTGTTGACAATTAGGCCGCATCAAGGCTCACTGTCCCAATAGGTTCAAGCCTAGTTCCCAACAGGGAAGCAAAATGAGTCAATAGAAGTTGTAGTCGCTTATACAATGTCTGAGCCGGTTGGAGATATCCCGGCCGGGTTACATACTCCCTCAACCTCTCAGAGTTGATTGGGTCCTTAGAGAGGAGCTCAAACTAGAATGGTCTAAAAAATATCCAATGGCTTCCTGGGTGACTATATGGCAGACGGTCCTAAAGAAGAGTCGATTGTACCGGAGGAGGATGTAGCGAACATTGGCTCTGCTCACATCTATATCAGCCGTGCTTGTATAGATAGGCTGCGCTTAGGGCAGCAGGTGAAGCGGCTAAGGAGACTTGTATTATCTCCCTAAGCCAACACACAGAAGATACTGCATCAAGGATTATATCCAGCATGTAGTGTGCACCTTCTCTTACGGAGGAGGGACTCTAAGCCCCACCAGTACCCCAGGGGGTCTTAGGCCCCCTCTGGGCCCCCTCTGATGCAAATGCATATCGACCCGCACGGCACACCAATTCATCCACCGCATTAACGGGCTAAAAATGTGGCGGTAGTGGCGGTTTAAGCCACCGGTTGCGCTTCCTGATCAGCGACGAAGTTCCATTAGATATGATCCTAGGGATGTACTACTTGAGAAAAGGTTGCATAACCCCAGTTTGACTGGATGAAGAAGACTATGAAAGTACAAACTGCCTTGGGGGAGGATAGTCCTTCTGAAGAAGTACAATCTTCAGAAGCTGGCAGACCCTTATGATTTTGCTTTTGTGCTAGTGCATTCTACAATTATCACAAGCAAGCAACATCCAGCAGAGGACGGTATGACCTAGTATTTGTGTCTCAAAAGGGGCAGGCCGTTAAGACCCCTTCAAAGATAGAAAGAGCCTTCGCTAAGTATTGTTAGATGCCCAGTTGGGCGATCTACATATATAACCGAGGATCCGCAATCTGATGAAAAGGACTGAATGGACAATGCAGTGCTAGTAGAATCTCAACGAGCAGGGTACATCCTGATACATAAAAAAATGGAGCTTTATAGCGCAGGGGAAGACTTAGATATAAGTCCTGACCTGACCGGGACTGACCTCCCTCACGAAGTACAAGACAGCGTAGCAGAATGCTAGAATACCAATGACTAGCCCAATCAATGTCGCCATGCAGATCAAACATACATCATCCTTATCACAATGTGTGAAGGGGCCTGGTGCTACACACAGGAAGATGCGGCACGTCCAGATCATGCACAGACAAAGAGGAGGGAATCAGACGAAGAAGAGGGGGGAGATGGAAATGTCGTCAACACCCAGTCTTCGTTACAAGTCCCAGATAAGTTGAAATAACCCTCGTCAAATGCCTGAAGCCCAATGTTGAGTCTGGACCAAATGTCACCAATCCGGTCTCTCTAGTAGTCTGCTGATGCTGTGACGAACCAATTTCTGTTCCGCGCGATTTTCTGCGCGATGACAATGAGGGGTCCTGAGATGGGAAGGATGGGCCAATTACGGGAGATCGGGATCGAAGGGAAATTGCATCAGTGTCCTCGCTTTTTCGTCTTTTCTCTTTCGTCGCTTCTTTTCAGATGGCTGGGTTCAGGGCATGGCAAGTCCCAAGATGGCCGATTGAGTGGCTGTCGCGCCGACAAAGGCAAGATAATAATGTTTGACGTCGCTTCTTTCTTGTTTTGTTGTCGGGTTATAGGTGTGGAGGTCGCGCGGGAATTTCGCTTGATTCTTTTTGAATTTCTTTTTCGAATCTTGTCGAGCCCTTGATGGCTCTCGGAATTTCGAACTTTCTTTTCGGAATTTGCGTTTTATTAAAGTTCTTTTCGCAACAAGTTTAGGAGTTTAGGAATTTAGGAATTCGGGATTTCTTTTGTCGCGCGTTGTCTTTCTTGCGCGCTTCTTTTTGCGGCTGCAACGGAGCTCTGATTAGTCGGCGCCCTTAATCTTGCAAGTAACTGTAACTTTTGGAAGGGCACCATTGTAACTGTATCTTTCTTCTTGAGCTTCGTCTTTCCCGCTCTCTCTTTCCCTTTTTGCTGTGCCTAGTTAGCCCGCGGCCTGCATGGTCGGATCGATGCGTGGAGAGTGGCTACGTCCCCCACGCCTCGGTCTGGCCATGCAGAACGTAGGCACTCCCTCTCCTAATCTCCTTTCTAAGTCCTTGCAATTCCGTGTTCTTCGCGCATGCATTGCATGCGCGCTATAAATTCCAGTGCGATTAGATAGCTCTCTTAACCAGTTGTTGGAAGCTCGGGGTAGCGCGATCAGTGAGGGTCGGCTCACGAGCGAAGTAAGAGGTGAGTTGAAGTGGGAGTCGGGCGACCCGGCGAGCTGGTGCCGAATGCGCGGGGTTACCGCGTGGGGCTACGACGGACTGTAGTGCGCGGGCGAACCTGACAAAGGCAGGAGGACTAAGCGGGGTGACGACTTCGTGGGTTGGTGCGTGACGACGGACTGCCCGCATCGGGGAGAGAGAGAGAGAGAGAGAGAGAGAGAGAGAGAGAGAGAGAGAGAGAGAGAGAGAGAGAGAGAGAGCTGAGGTTCATGAACGTGGATTTGCAATTTTCTTTGTCTTGTCTCCCTCTTTACTTTTGTATATAAATTTTGATCTCGGCTCAGGGCGACTCGCCCGTTTTCTTTTGTTTGCAGAATCCATGTCTCGGTTTCAGCCCATCCTTGTTTTGCGATTGATCTTGCGATAGATCTTGATCTCAGCTATCGTATGTTCTGTCGAATAACTGGATGAATGAATGTTATGTCTGTTGTTTTTCTTTTGTCTGGTCATTGCCTTCGCTTGCCATTATGATATACTCATAAGCATGGTACAAATCTTTGCATAATCATCAGTATTGCTTCCATTATTGCTTATCACTTTGATCCACTGTTCTTCTGATGTTGTTGTGATGTCTAATGTGTGATAACACCTCGCATGCTCAGGAATGATTGCTTAAGGGATCATGGAATGATTAGATGATTGGGTAGTTGTTTACGGCACATGGCAATTTTGCATGAGGAATTAGACTATCATTTTTCCAGAAACAAGTGAATACCTCGCGGGGATACGTGTAAGCGCGATCTGATCTGCGCAGCCTACACGTGTCCACGCGTGCCGATTCACGACCATTGTCGAATCTGACACCCCCAACATTGGGTAGGCGGGAATTTTCCTTCCCCCACGCACCCAATCGGATAGGAATTTTCGATATCACATCGGGAAAACCCCCTTGCTAGTTAGATGTGTGCGGAAGACTTCCACTACCCCGCAATGACAAGATGCCGAGCTCCTGGGACTCGGACTACTTTGACCCTTGGGTGAGAGAATGTATTAGGCAAAGATACCCGGAACACCCCTGCCTAACCGAGAATCGATTGTTCCCCAGGGAGTTTCACTGTGCCATAACCAACGATCCGAGGTGCCCAGATTTTCCCACTACGAATAACACACAATACTTTATATCCCCCGGCTTCGTCGTTATCACTACCAATTTCCCTCCCTTTCGTCTCCTCCTTCCATATCACCAACTCACAGTGGTCCCGTGGAATTTCATCGCCCCGTATTGGCCCCACACGCCTTGCGGAAATTGTCGGCGACGCGGCAATCGATGAGCCTCTGAAACTACGGGGCCTAACCAAAACGCGCGACGACAGACGCCGCGTGTCTGCACCCGAAGGTCCGACTCATCGGAATCACAACCATCCCGGGCGGGCCTCTCCCCCAACCGCCGCCACCAAAACAGACGGATCGGACGACCTTGAATGCACCGCGCATGCCATCTGCCTTATGCTACACGACCCCGACCGCCATCAGACCGGAAGTAACTCGCCCCCCTTAGCTCTTTGCATCTATGCCCCTGTAACTTTGCCACAGGAGATCTCAATTCCGACCTGGGACTCCACCCCCACTTTCCCCAAAAATCCTTGGCACACCCCTTCTCGCACTTCCAGGCCCACATCCCACTYCGATCAGGAAGTTGCGTCGGGCGTGAGGTTGGTATCGGAGCCCAACACGTGGCAGGGTTCTAGGACTCATAGTTGGGCGATCTGGCTAACAGGGGACGACCTTAACCCCGAAATGCGCATCGACGCGATCCCGTTGTCACCCATCACGTGGCAGGGTTCTAGGACTCATAGCTGGGCGATCTGGCTAACAGTTCTCCCCCATCAACCACACAGTGCAACAGATCATGGCAGCTGCAGAGGAAATGGAACGAAAGTTCGCTGCGAGTTTCCCAAAAGGGGAAGACTATCGTAGGGAAGGAGACTCGTCCGAACTAGCAAGAGCTAAAGCTGAGTTGGCTGCACTGCAGAACAAATTTGAAAACATGGGGTTGTGTCAGGCCCTGTCACCTATCTGAAACAGATTAGTCCCAAACAACCGGTCCCGAGTGTGATTACGAGCATACTCGTGCCCGTGATGACAGCACCCCCGCCACCGATCGAAACCCCCGTACGACCAAACGAATCAGCCGCCCTATTAGAACTAACCAAGACATTGGTTACTCTGATTCAGGAAAGCAAAAAGGAACAGCGGGAACACAACGCTCGAATAGAAGAGATGTTGAGGTCGGTGCGACCAATAGCGATGCGTGCCGCCCCGATTCAACACGGATTGGCTCCGACACCCCCTCCTGCAGGGATCCCTGGCAATCTGAACGTCTGTTACACGTGTCACCAACCAAGGCATATAGCCCGAGATTGCCCTCATCGACCCCTGCAGCAACGAGTCGGGGGGCATTGATGGAAGAAATGGAAGGAGGTGGAAGCACATTAGCTACGATGGAGGAAGCTGCTGAACTAATCTCGTTGGTTCATTATGTAACGCTTGGCTACCCAAGGCTTGGGATGATTGGAACGATTAGACCCGCGCCAGAACAAAGAGAAGTGGCGGAAAGGCGACCTTCTCCAGGAGAAATGGAGTCGGGAGGACCCACCTTCGTCATTGGGGAAATCGATGTTTTGAACATCATTCAAGCCTTAGATCATCGGATTCCTCTTCCGATTGGTCATCTACTTTCGATATCAAAACAAGCCAACGAACGGATGCTGCAACATTGCAAGGCGAATCGGAAACGATTCGCCCTCACCTGAACAATGAACACGAAAGCAAAAAGTCCAGCACAAGATGAAAAGTTGTCGAAGCTTCGGACCCAATACGGTTAGGATTGATCCAGAAGGATGATCATTTCCTACGGATTAAACCAATCCCCTGGAAATCCGCCGAATGCGATATCGAGATATGGGGAATCCCGTACAATGCCATTATCGATTCGGGAGCCGCTGTTTTGGCTATCTCGTTACGGGTAAAGAGCAGGGAGGAAGAACGATCTAATCGTGCTTACGAGAAAAGATCAGCTCGTTTCAGCAGATGAGGAGAAGAGCAAAACGGTGGGACGGATGACCAATGTTGCTTTTCAATTAGGGAAGGTACATGCTTTGGAAGATGTCGTAGTCTAGACGTAAACACTTACGACGTCCTTTTCCGCCTTCCCGCTCTTGTGGCCCTGTGAACCAATCTGGATTTTGAGAGACGATCGATTGTCCTCCGAAATACAGGAGGAAAACCTTATGTTGTACCGATAAGATTGACCCTTCGCACCACCACTGACGTGACTCCGCGAGTTTCTCCCATGATGGCAGGAACCCTCCACGTGATCACCTGGGATAATTCCGCAGACGACGGGCAACCGTCAAAGGACACGGACAGCAGCGATGAGGATGATCCGGTGATCCTGGAGATGGCACAACAGCGTATCTATTACCCTATGCAACGAGCAAACACAAGATCGCCAAGCCTGACTGATCAAAGTCTACAAAGAACGCAAGTCGTGATTATGGGTGAACCCCTCGTGCAGCTTTCGAGGATGGTCGATTCTTTGGAACCCCCTCGAACCCTGTACGAAGGCATCTCCCTTTTACTTGCACGATACAATGACAAAAGACACTACTGCGACATCACGAGTCTTCCACGATCTCTTTTGACGCCTGCAAAAGAGCTACGATTGATACGTTTAGGGGCGGAGACCAATTTTTTGGAACCCCCTGAGCGCCTCGAAACCGGACTCAGAATTAAAATCGCGACGAAACCAGTGCCTTGGCAGGACATTCGATACGGAATAACACCGGAAGAACACGTGGCCATTCGAGAACAGGATGCACAAATGATGGCCATGGTATTCTCCTGGCGGTCGGATAATTCGTTTGTTTCCACGGCCCCACCTGAAAGCGCTAAGCGGGTAAGTACGAAACACATCGATGTATGGATATGGGATGAGTTGTACGAGATGCACGTGCCCCAATACGTACCTGATGAGATCCATCATCTAATCACGGAAATTCTAAAAGAATACAAGGGAGCGATTAGTCTGACGGACACAGACATTGGATAGTCGTTAGTTAGTCATACAGCACGAGATTCAAACTGGAAACCATCCCCCGATTCACTGTAAGCCCTACAGATACTCCCTGAGAGAACGAAAAACGGCCCTCGAGCGGATTCGAGAATTCAAAGTTAATGGTTGGATCGAACCCGCCATTGGGCCATGGTCATTCCCGATAGTATTGGTGCCGAAAAAGAATGGATCGATTCACATATGCATTGAATGACATCACGATCAAAGATGTGTATCCCTTTCCCAGGATTGATGATTTGCTGGATGCAATTGGGTGTGCTAATTATTTTAGCAAATTTGATATTCGTCACAGCTTCCATCACATTCTGGTTAAGGAGGATGATCGACCGAACACGGCTTTTGTATTGTTTGAAGACACGTGGCAGTGGGTTCGGTGTCCGATGGGGATTTGCAACGCGCCTGCCATATTTCAACGAGCTATGAACGTGACGTACCAACACTTCGTCAACAAGACGTGGCTCACTCAGGGGATGATTAACTTCTGCGTCATCGTGTACACGGACAACATCCTCGTCTACTCGGAGACCTATCATGGGCATGCACAGCACATCGAGTGGACGCTAGGAGCTCTGAGAGATGCTGGGTTCACGATCGCGCTCGAGAAAAGCGAGTTTTTCCTCTCGGAAATCTCCTTCTTGGGTTACGTGGTGACACGTGGAGGACTGCGACCAGATTCAAGGAAAGTCGCGGTGGTGAAAGATGCTTCTGTCCCCACATCGGTGACGCAGGTTCGAGCTTTCCTGGGATTGCCATCGTACTACCGTCGTTTTATCAAAGGCTTTGCCGCGATTGCGCGACCTCTGACGAATCTACTACGAAAGGATCAGCCCCTTAGTTGGGACGCAGAGTGCGAACAGGCCTTCGCCACCCTCAAAGGCGCTCTGGCGACAACACCTATTTTGATCCGGTCGGATCCTATGAAGCAGTTCATTCTCATCACGGACTGGCAGCCAGAGGCGATTTCCGCTATTCTAGCGCAGAAGGGGAGCGACGGTCGAGAGCACGTCATCGAGTACGCATCTCGTACAGTGCCAGACGAACGAAGGAACGATTCAGCCCCGCAAGGTGAATGCTATGCCGTAGTCTAGGGAATTCAGCACTTCCATCCGTATCTTTACGGCCAAAAGTTCCTCCTTGTAACCGATCACGAGCCATTATTGGCTCTCGAGAAGCTCACTAATTACACGAGTATGATCGGACGGTGGGCTCTGCGCCTACAGGAATACGACTTCGACATCATCCATCGAAAGGCAGAGAGACACGGCAACGCGGACGGGTTGACATGTCTGCATCGCCCCACTAAGGTACCTAAAGGTGAGGAAATCATTCCGTAGAAGGAACTGGAGTTAGCAAACGGACCCAAGTACGGGCAAGTGGCATTCCTTCCACGTGGCAAGAAGCAGGCGATTGGCAATGGGTGACGGAGGTAATCCTACAACTCCTCTCTCTCCCCTCTCATCTTCATCTTTCCTCTTCCTGCCCTACAAATTTTGTTATTTTTGTGAAGCGATCTCGCGCGTCTACTCGATCCCTATGCGTCCTAGCGGGGAAGGGTATGCAGAATGGATAGATTGTCGACAGTGCGTCGCACGAGCCCATGGCTCGTGCATCCAGTACAGAAATGGCGATAAGCCTTGGTTGTGTCCCTTGTGTCGGACAGATAAGACCCCGACTGAAGCTCGATTTCTTGACGCCATGTCAAAAGGGTTGGAAAAGACCCGAAAGTTTAGAAGACTCGAGGTATGGACGAACATCGTTCTAATTGCCACCTTGGTAGGAAACCCCCTCCAGGGCTTCACTAAGGAAGAGCGGAGGAGGGCCAATGAAAGAGCTCGGGATTATCGTTGGAACGAGGGCCGGTTAGAAAAACGAAAGACTGATGGTAGCGGGATTTGGATGGTAGTGCCGCACCCGTTCATGAGGTATGCCTGGGTTAAGACGGCGCATGAGGAAATTGCAACCCATTTTGCCGTACGAATCACGTAAGCGGCAATCGACAAAAACGAATGGTATTGGTCCAATACTCGCGATGACGTGAAATTCATCGTCGCGAACTGCCAGGTCTGCGCTGCAGACAAGGCGCCGATCCAGCCGCCAAGATCGATAGTACCGACGATAGTTGAACGGCCGTTTCAGGGAGTTAGCATGGATACTACCGATATTGTGGTGCCCCCTGGACCGAATAGCTGCGAGTATTCAATCCTACTAGCATTCGTAGACCACTTTTCGAAATGGATTGAGGCATACCCGTGTCGTACACGACAAGCGGCTGAAATCGCGCGATATGTCAACCAGTTCTTAGGGATGCATCAAGACACAGAGGAAATCCTGACCGACAACGGGGTAGAATTCAGAGGGGAAGTTTTAAGGAATCTGATCGTACATGGCGTCGCTATTCGAAATAGCGCACCCCACATGTCGCAATCTAATGGTAGAAAACACAAACCGGGTGATAAAGATAGCCTTGCGACAAAACATCGCGGCACGGGATCCGAGGCCCTGGCCCGCTATCGTAGATCACATCCTAACGGTCCATCGAGGAACGCCTCACGAATCGACGGGCCTTAGCCCCTTCCAATTACGAACCAATAGCATAGCTTGTGTCTCGATATCGAGCCTCCCCGATGAATCTTCATTGAATCAGCGGCCCACAAGATCCACGGTTCGGGACAAGGCCAAACGGCACATGGAGTTGGAGCAGTCCCTTCCCCAATTAGCCCGAAAGCGCCAGAAAATGACTGAGTTGGCCCACGGCCGATAGGTCCGTAGCTACGAGGCCTAGAATCGGAACGCAGGACCTCGGCCCCAGTATAAATTAGGGGACCTGGTGCAGGTGAGGAAATGTGCTCGTCAAGGAAAGATGGCGCCACGAGTCTTCGGGCGAACTCGGACCGAACGGGGTGAACACCGTGCGCCTCGTGCCGGAGGATTCGGGAAGCCGATCGGCTCGACCGATCATCCGCCCCGTGTCCTATCTATGTCCTCTCCCTTCCTCTCCATCTCCAGCTGAGTCTGCTTCCTCCTTCAGCCCTCTGCGACACACGGCCATCCGAACATCGCTAAGGGAGTGGGGCCAGCAGCTGGCAGCAGAATGGAATCAGTGGCTTACACGCGCCGCGGCGATAATCTTGTCCCCACGGACGACATCGAAGTCGGAGGGCTCTGAACGTCTCAACACGAGCCGGCGTTGGTGCTTCCTGAGCTCGTCCCTTTCCAGCGTCCTCAATGAACCGATCCCAGCTCTCTACCTTCGCTCTCCCCTCTCTCTTCCCTACCTTCTAGCAGTCTGACCTTTGCCCCCGTCTCTCTTTTCGTCTGGAACCACTCGCTGTTCCCCTTCTCGATCGAAGAACTTGGGAACGGTGGAGCGAGCACTTCGTCCATCTTTCGGTGTTTCTGGTCGGAGTGCAGCTGACGTGGACGAGGGACACGAAGCACCGCACCTGGATTGAATACGTGGAGCTGTTAATCATCCAAGCTTGGAGGACGGAGGTGGAAGGAGACCTCGGATTTCTATTCGGATCGGTGCATCCCGACCATCGACAGCAGATCGTACAAGAGCTCACGATTCCCCTCGCGCAGCTGGCCGACGATCTCCCTTTCGATATCGTTTCGCAGTGCGACAAGAGCCCAGTCCCACACGTCCTTTCACGAACTTTGACGCCTTACCTGCAGTGGTCGGCCTGCCTCGAGGAGCCAGGTAGTAACAACAACCCGCCATCGCAACAACAATACCTGGACCCCCGGGGGATAATCTACCGAGTCTTCTTTCAGCCTCGAACGGCCTCCAAAGACGAAGTCATAAGACTAGAGGAGGAGGAGGAAAAGGACGAAGAGGGAGGCGACGAGGAAGAAGAAGAGAAAACCCCGAAAGAAGGAAGTTACAGCGAGCACAGCGAGGGAGAGCAGAGCGACGAGGAGGAAGAAGAGGATCAGTCAGAGGAAGAGGAGGAATCTGAGTGGGAGACGTTGGGAGAAGAGGCGGATCACACAGAGCCTCACGAGGAGGATCCCGAGGCGGTGCGAAGAAGAGAAGAGATCGCAGCAGCGAAGCAGTCGCTGGAGTTCGCGAGTGGACTAGACCTGCCGATCCCGAACGACCCAGCCAAGGATCCCGAGCCGCCCAAGAACGACAATGGGGACCTTGTTGCAAAGACTTCGAGCGCACCAGCCCGACGGCGACGAAGCCGATCCCCCTCCCCCTCCACCTCCGCCCGTCCACCAGTTCGAGCTCGTACCGATGCGGGGCATCGGGCTTCGTCCCCGGTCCTTATCCCGTCCCCTTCACCACCTCACCCTCCGCCAGATCGCTACCCGCATCACCGTCCCCTGCAATCCCTTCCCAATCGACACCTTCCGCTTCTTCTACGCAACCCGTCTTGCTGTCACGGTTCATCCCCATCCTTCTACCTGGTGTGCCACCCCTGTCTTCTGTCTCCACGCCCTTCTCTTCAGTGCCGCGTGGCGAGGCCACAACATCGTCAAGGTTTACTGCATGATCACGGGGACTACCCCCGCATGCGAAAACCACGATCACTTCCGCACGGCGCTTTTCCGAACTTTCACCACCCTTTGACCCAACTGTCTCGCATCCCTTCCGCATAGTGGTAATCGATTCCCTCGCTTCCATCAAATCATCCGATATCAGGAGCTTCCGGAGACAGTCGCGAGATTAAAACGCTTCCTGCCCCCACTCCCGACCAACCCACCCCCTCGCCATGCCCCCATGTATCGTCTTCCCTTTCCCCTTCCCTTAGGTCATTGATGTATGGTTGATTGGCATGTGCCACGACGATGGCACGCACGATCCCCTCCTTGGATTGAAGACAGCCCATCCTGAGGAAATTGTAGGATAGAGCCACGTGTGCGACCCTGGATGACCTCCACACTCTTATCGAACGGTAAGTGGCAACAAAGAAGGCTCCGCGCGTCGATCGATTAAACAAATCGACACGTGTCATGATTCAAGCAAGCGGGAGCTTGCTTAAGATTGGAACCCCCTGGGCGTCACATATGTGACGACCCAATTTCTGTTCCTCACAATTTTCTGCGCGATGACAATGAGGGGTCCTGAGATGGGAAGGATGGGCTAATTACGGGAGATCGGGATCGAAGGGAAATTGCATCGGTGTCCTCGTTTTTTCGTCTTTTCTCTTTCATCGCTTCTTTTCAGATGGTTGGGTTCAGGGCCAGGCAAGTCCCGAGATAGGCGATTGAGTGGCTGCCGCGCCAACAAAGGCGCAGATAATAATGTTTGACGTCGCTTCTTTCTTGTTCTGTTGTCGGGTTTTAAGCGCGGAGGTCGCGCAGGAATTTTGCTTCGTTCTTTTTTAATTTCTTTTTCAAATCTTGTCGAGCCCTTGATGGCTCTCGAAATTTCGGACTTTCTTTTTGGAATTTGCGTTTTATTAAAGTTCTTTTCGCAATAAGTTTAGGAGTTTAGGAATTTAGGAAATCGGGATTTCTTTTGCTGCGCGTTGTCTTTCTTGCGCGTTTCTTTTTGCAGTTGCAACGGAGCTTTGAGTAGTCGGCGCCCTTAATCTTGCAAGTAACTGTAGTTTTTGGGCGGGCACCATTGTAACTGTATCTTTCTTCTTGAGCTTCGTCTTTCCCGCTCTCTCTTTCCCTTTTTCCTGTGCCTGGTTAGCCCGCGGCCTGCATGATCGGATCGATGCATGGAGAGTGGCTACGTCCCCCACACCGAAGGCCATGCAGAACGTGAGCGCTCCCTCTCCTAATCTCCTTTCTAAGTCCTTGCAATTCCATGTTCTTCGCACATGCATGCACACTATAAATTCCGGTTGCGCGATTAGATAGCTCTCTTAACCAGTTGTTGGAAGCTCGGGGTAGCGCGATCAATGAGGATCGCCTCACGAGCGAAGTAAGAGGTGAGTTGAAGTGGGAGCCGGGCGAGCCGACGAGCTGGTGCCGAATGCGCGGGGTTGACGCGTGGGGCTACGACGGACTGTAGCGCGCGGGGGAACCTGAAGGGTGCAGGAGGACTAAGGGGTGACGACTTCGTGGGTTGGTTCGTGACGACGGACTGTCCACATCGAAGAGAGAGAGAGAGAGAGAGAGAGAGAGAGAGAGAGAGAGAGAGAGAGAGAGAGAGAGAGAGAGAGAGCTGAGGTTGATGAACATGATTTGCAATTTTCTATGTCTTGTCTCCCTCTTTACTTTTGTATATAAATTTTGATCTCGGATCAGGGCGACTCGCCCGTTTTCTTTTGTTTGCGGAATTCGTGTCTCGATTTCAGCCCATCCTTGTTCTGCGATTGATCTTGATCTCAGCTATCGTATGTTTTGTCGAATAACTGGATGAATGAGTGTTATGTCTGTTGTTTTTCTTTTGTATGGTCATTGCCTTTGCTTGCCATTATGATATACCCATAAGCATGGTAGAAATTTTTGCATAATCAGCATTATTGCTTCCATTATTGCTTATCACTTTGATCCGTTGTTGTTCTGATGTTGCTGTGATGTCTGATGTGTGATAACACCGTGCATGCTCGAGAATGATTGTTTGCGGGATCATGGAATGATTAGATGATTGGGTAGTTGTTTACGGGACATGGCGATTTTGCATAAGGAATTAGACTCTCATTTTTCCAGAAACAAGTGAATACCTCGTGGGGATACGTGTAAGCGCGATCTGATCTGCGCAGCCTACACGTGTCCACATACGCCGATTCACGACCATTGACGAATCTGACACCCCCAGCATCAAGTAGGCGTGAATTTTCCTTCCCCCACACACCTAAACGGATAGGAATTTCCGATATCACATCGGGAAAACCCCCTTGCTAGTTAGATGTGTGCGGAAGACTTCCACTACCCCGCAATGACAAGATGCCGAGCTCCTGGGACTCAGAGTACTTTGACCCTTGGGTGAGAGAATGTAGGCAAAGGTACCCGGAATTCCCCTGCGTAACCGGGAATCAATTGTGCCCCAGGGAGTTTCACTGTGCCATAACCAACGATCCAAGGTGCCCCGATTTTCCCACTACGCAAAACACGCAATACTTCATATCCCCCAGCTTCGTCGTCAGCACTACCAATTTCCCTCCCTTCCATCTCCTTCTTCCATATCACCAACTCAAAGTGGTCCCGTGGAATTCCATCGCCCCATATTGGCCTCGCACGCCTTGCGAAAATTGTCGGCGACGCGGCAACCGACGAGCCTCTGAAACTACGGGGCCTAACCAAAACGCACGACGACAGACGCCACGTGCATCGGAATCACAACCATCCCGGGCAGGCCTCTCCCCGAACCGCCGCCACCAAAACAGACGCATCGGACGACCTTGAATGCACCGCGCATGCCATTTGCCTTATGCTGCACGACCCCGACCGCCATCAGACCGAATGGAACTCGCCCCCTTAGCTCTATTGCATCTATGCCCCTGTAACTTTGCCACAAGAGATCTCAGTTCCGACCTGGGACTCCACCCCCACTTTCCCCAAAAATCCTTGGCACACCCCTTCTCGCACTTCCAGGCCCACATCCCACTCCGATCATGAAGTCGCACCGGGCTTGAGGTTGGATGTCACAATGCAATGAAGTCAGGTAGCGAGAGGGTGAGAGGAAGATGGTGGACCAAGAAGAGGAAGAAGAACTCTCTCTCTCTCTCTCTCTTTCTCTCTCTCTCATGTGCCAGATACTAACCTATGAAGATGGCGCTGTGCTGCAGGTACCTCGAAGACAAAGTTGGAGCTATGGCGTTGAGGGTAAGTCTCCCTGGCCTCCGCCCAATCTCTCTCTCTCCCCAGTACTACTCTAGCTCCTACTAGTGGCCAGCGCTAAACACTACTGCTAACGCTACTACTACTACTGCAACACTCCTCCAGAGTGCTGCTGCCGAATCCTGAAGACTACCTCCTGCCTCCTGAACTGCACGTAAAGTGCCTGGGAACTCCCTATGACACTCCCTATGACACTCCCTATGACACTATCTGCAGCCTGCAGGGCAGGCCAGTCCTTAATAGTGTTGGCCCGCCCAGGAGGCTGCTCTTGCCAATGCCAAAACGTGCCAAACCCTGGCGTTGAAGCTCAACCAAGGGTTGTCTTGAAAACAGGCCCAAAATGGCATGTGCTAAAACCCTGGTCTGGTGCCCGAGTTTCAGGGCAGGTCGATCTTATGAGGGTCTGAAAATGGCCCTCCGTTTCAGGCTGAAAAGACTCAGGGTCGGGAAGGCCCTGTTTTAGGTTGAAATGACACAAGGCCTGTAGGCCCTTGTTTTCAGGCTTTCAGGCTGAAACGACACAAGACTTGTAGGCCCTTGTTTTCAAGCTTTCAGGCTGAAAAGGACACGGGCCTAAAAATGGCCTGTGCAACCTGTTGCAGGTGTAGCATGTACAGTATCTTGCAGGTGTAGCATGTAACAGTATCCAAACCTCCAGTGGGAACCTGCAGGGGCTGTTGATAGGGAGATTGTACATGCGATAAAGATTATCCCAGAAAGTAGAGGTGCCCAGGGGTAGAATCTATAACATGCCTCCAGCAGAGCTAGATGAGCTTTGCAAGCAGATCAAGGAACTGACTAACAAGGGATGGATAAGGCCAAGTACTTCAGCCGAGTTTGTTCATGCCAAAGAAGGAAGGTACCTCAAGGATGTGCATTGATTATAGGGGCCTCAATGCGATGACCTCATGAACTCTTGGATAGAGTGAAAGGATGTGTAAGTACTTCAGCAAGATAGACGTGAACTCCGGTTCAACCATCGAATTGAGACAAGACCCAAGAATCAACACTAAACTACATAATTGCAGAGGACATAACGGCATGTATGAGATTGTGGTGATGCCGTTCGGGCTCTGTAATGCACCTGATACATTCCAGCATGCTATGAATAGGGTATTCCCCCCCCTAACTAGTCTTTAATCGTCGGAACTTCGTTCCTGGTCCATAGTGGGATATTGTCATCTCTCCTTTCGAGGGGGGGTGGCTACACTATCGTCAAAAGGGAGGAAGGTGTTTTAGATATTGTTATGACGGTGCCTGTAAAGTAGGTGACTATTGTGGCATAAAGGGAGGAGTGACCACCCAACCTTTCGCCGAGAATGGTCACCTTGCCTCCATGGTCAGGGTTTGGTCAATCCCGGTCATGATAGGTGGGGCGGTTCTACTCTACATGCAGCAGACTGACGAGGTCGAGAACACTAAAATCGGAAGGAATGTGGTGAGGCTCGAGTCTAAAGCGGGGCTTAACGTCGAGTTGTTATCCCTTATGGATTACACCACTCCTTGACGCATTCATAAAACACGTAGGACATAAATCGTGCATGACAATTAAGTTGAGTGGTAGTTAATCGAACTGGACGAGGACTTTTGGAGGGATGATCTCTCTTTGGGATGTTGCCGGCACATGCTGTAGTATAGTGTCAATATCCTTGTGTTTCGTGGGAGGCCAAAGTTAAACTCCTCGCAGCGAGAGACATGCTGATGGGAATGCATCCCCATGACCATGAGAGACCCGGGTTAAATTCCTGGCAGTATGCGCTGTATGATGAAAGACCCGCAGGGGGTTAAGCCTTGCGAGCCCTCGACAGGGGGTTATAGCTTGAAGAGAGTCCCATCAGGGGGATAAGGCCTAACCCATCTATCAAAGACTAAAAGATGAAATGAGTGGCCGCCAGTGGGATGATGCTGGGATCATTCTTCTAAAATGTTCTTGTAAATCCTCAAGTTGGGTAAAGCCAACGGTGAATTCCGGATCCTGGGGAAAGGCCTGCCAGAGGTTATTTTTAGCCCCATTCCAACTCGTGAGTGAATGAAAGTGCTTTCGAAGGAAGGTTTGAAAGGCTGGTTTCGAAGCCTCAAGGATCTCCAAAATTGGTCTGATTGGCCAATCTCTTCGGTGTGGCCCTGGGGGCAAGTATGGCAGCGGGACCATTTATTCTCCATTCCTCCAGTCTCCACTTCTGCTGT